AACAAATGGGGGAGGGGGTTACAGATAAAAACTAATTCACATGGTTGTTTTTGGATTAATGTTAAATATCTAGAAGAGCAAAGTATATGGTGCATAGTAGACAAATTACATGCTTGTACAATAAATAAATGAAAAAGATAGTGGTAGAGCATGTAGAAGCAGATTTCAACACCCTCCCACCCCGCCCTCTTTAAAATACTGGAGATTGAACCCAAGGACACTCTACTACACTGAACTACATTCCCTGCCTTATTTATTTATTCACTTATTTATTTATAAATTTTGAGATGCAATCTCACTATATTATCAAGGCTAGTCTCAAATTAGCAATCTTCCTTTTTAGCTTCCTGGGTAGCTGGGTTCTTAGACATGCACCACTGAATCCACTACTATTTAGGCTTTATAGCTTTATCATCATGAATTTCTTTTTCTAAATTCTTTAATTTTGTTATTAAAGAGAATTTTAATCCCTCTGAAGTATTATGCCAACATTGTTGTCTGTACATGTTTTGTTCTTCTTCCTCCCAACCCATGTCCACAATGTTTTTTTCCTTTGTTCTGTTTTTTTTGATGCTGAGATTGAATCCTCCCTCAAATCTTAATATCTTAAAAATATAATAATAATAATAATAATAATAATAAGAATGACCTGGGATCTCTTTATCATAGAGCTATATCTCCAGTCCTTTTTATTTTTTATTCTGAAGTAGGGTTTCAGTAAATTGCTGAGTCTGGCCTTGAAGTTGCAATCTTTCTGCCTGAGCCTCCTGAATTGCTAGAAAAACAGAAATGTACCACCATGCCCAGTTTCTGTTTTGTTTTCCTTTATTAACTTTTTATTTCAAAATAGTCATCTATTTACAGAATTACTTCAAGACAGTAGAGAGTACCCATATGCCTCTCACACATTTCCCCCACTATTTACCTTTTACAATCTTCTTGTATATTATTACAATTAATGTAACAATATCGAAACCTTATTATTAACTGAACTTTGTACTTTATTCAGATGTCTTTAGTTTCTTTAGAATGTTCTTTTTCTGTTCTAGATTCCCATTCAGGAAGTTACATTGCATTTTATATTTGTATCTTGATTCTTTTTGGTTGTGACAATTTCTTAGACTTGAATTTTGATGATCTAGACTGTTTTGGCAATTATATGTTTACAAATACCTTTCTCAATTAAGATTTTAAAAAGCTGATTTATAATTTACATAGACTAAAATGTGTCCCACCCCCCTTTGGTACTGCTGGTTAGTGAACTCAGGGCTTTGTACCAGCTAGGTAAGTGTTTACATTGAGCTAAGTTCCCAACCCCCAAATACACACTTTAAAATTACATAAGTCAGTGCTTCTTTTACTGTATGCACAATATTTTCCAACTGTCCCTACTAGCTAATTCATCCCCCAAAGAAACCTTACAACCATTAGCAATCACTGCACATTCACAGCTCCCTGATCTATCCACAGTCATGAATCTGTTATCAATATGGATTCATATATTCTGAACACTTAATAGAAATGGMATCATATAATATGTAGGCATTTGGGTCTGTTTTTTCACTTAGCACAATATTTTCAGTCACTACTTCTTGTGGTTGAGCAATGTCCCATTATATGGAAGTACATAACATGCCATATTTTGTTTATCCTTTTATCAGTTGGTAGACATTTGAGTTGTTCCCACTTTTGATTATTATTCATAAATCTGCTATGATAATTCACATTTGTGTTTTTGCATAGGTTGTTTCTTTTTTTTTGGTGATACTGGGAATTGAACCCAGGACATGGGGAATGAGCTATATCCCCAGCCCCTAGATTCTTTTTTTCTTTTTATTTGGTACTATACTAAGAAATAGGGATCATGGTAACTTAATGGCTAATATTTTTGGACATTTCCAATTGTTTTCCAAAGTGCCCACACTGTTTTACATTCCTGAAAGCATCTTTGAGGATTTCAATTTCCCCATGTCCTTCTCAAGACTTAATGACTTAGCCTTATGCATGTTAGGGAAATGCACTACCACTGAGCTACACACTCAGCTTTATTGTCTTTTTTGATTTTTAGTTGAGGGTTGAACCCAGGGTCTCCCATGTGCTCTACCAACAAAGCTACCTCCTCAGTCCCTGTATTATCTTTTAAATTATTTGCCTAAGTGACTTCTCACTGTGATTTTTCACTTGCATTTCCCTAATGACAAATGGTAATGAGTGTCTTTTCATATGCTTATTGGCTTTTGGTATACTTTTTTTTTTTTAAATGATCTATTTAATTCATTTGGGCAATTAAAGAAAATAAGGGGGGGTCTTTACTTTTGCATATTCTCTAGCTATACATATTCTTATCAGTTTTATTATTGGCAAATTTTATCCTATTTTGCCTTTTACTTTCTTAATCCTATCCCTTGAAGCAAATGTAACTGTTTAATGGTGATTAAATACTATAAAACTATGGTAAAATCCAATTTATATTTTTACTTGCTTGGCTTTAGGTGTTATTTCTAAGAAGCYATTGCCTAATTCAAGGTCATATAATTGTATATTTTGATTTCTTTCTGAGTTATTTATATTTTKCCCTTTTTAGGTCYGATCCATTTTGAATTAATTTTTGTATTTAATGTAAGTCAAGATATCAGATTAGTTTTTGAAAATCTCCACAATAGTTTCAGTTTTAGTGACCCTTAAGCTCAAACCCCTAAGAGTTTAGTTTGTTGTTATGTGTATTCTTTGGAAAAAATGGAATAATTGAAAGACATTAGTTAATAATAACATCAGACATTAATGAATAGCAACAAATGTTTCCATTTCTCATCCCAGAAGTACCACTGTAATATTGGTACAACTTTAACAACCATCTGCTGTCCTTGGAGTCTGTACTGGAACTTGACCTAAATATACATGCATGTAAACTTATCYAATTGTCAGAATGTTGTGTAATATAAGTACCTCCCCCCTAATTTTACAAATAAGGAAAACGATGTACAGAAAGTTAAGTAACTTGCCCAAGTTAACGTTGCTTTCAAGAATCAAGGCTAGAATTTGAATCAAAAGAGCAGAAGTCCAAAGGTATGATTTTCATTACTTAGACCATAATTGCATGTATTCTTTGATAATTTTTTTATGTGCAAATAAACATGATTACATAAAACCTTTCATACAATTAATTTTGCTATTCATTTCCAAGAGTGAGTTTTCCACATTGCTTTATACAAATAAGTAAAATTGAAATAGTAGAAATTGCAATTTTTTAGAGATCAAAAACATTTGAATATTGACAATTTTATATAATTTAACTAAATATGTCATTATTGGTAGTCTCAATAATGTATTTTATTGCTTAAATATATGTGAAGTTATTTAGCCTGTTTTCTAATTACCATTACATAGCTTATTATGGGAAAATCTGTGCACACGTGTTTAATTCTATGATCACTAGGAAGTCAGCAGCATTTTATTGGGGTAGGGAAGGAATTTTAGCCACTTAATCCCCATTAGTCTCCTTTCACCCTAAATTCTTTGAAATGGACAACTGAGAAAGGGTAAAGATATGTAAAACATTATGCAAATGTAGCTTTAGGGTTATTTCCTTAGCTTTCTAATCTTTATCATTGTCCTTTCCCAAGGAACATAAACATATTAGTCTGCAGAAAGGATATTATTAATGTAAAAAACTTTATTTATATTTGTTCATTGGTGCCTATTTTCCTTCACTACATCTATCACTGATTTTTGGTAAAAAATTAAATGTTCCCAAATTTAATAGGCAAGGGAAACTATTATATTTTAGACTTTAAGCACAGTCCTATTGTGCAAATGAGAAGCCAGTGATCTTCCATATAGTATTGAAGAGGTTTTTTTTTTCTTTTTAATTAAAAAAATTATATTTTTAGTTGTCAATAGACTTAATTTTTTTTTTTAAGTTGTGAGGCTGGGATGAATTGTGGCTCAGCAGTAGAAAGCTTGCCTAGCATGCGCGGGGCCCCGGGTTCTATCCTCAGCACTACATAAAAATAAATGAATGGAATAAAGGTATTGTATCCAACTGCAATTAGAAAAAATAAATAAATATTTAAAAAAAATAGTTGTAGATGGACACAATACATTTATTTTATTTATTTATGTGGTGCGGAGTATTGAACCCAGTGCTCCATGCATCCCAGGCAAGTGTGCAACCACTGAGCTGCAACCCTAGCCTCGGTCAGTAGTCCTTTATTTTATCGATTTTTACAAGGTGCTGAGAATCACTGAGCCACAATCCCAGCCCCTAGTATTAAAGAGTTTACATTCTGATTTTGGGGAATAATTTTGACAGTTTACAAAAGAAATATTAATTCAAAAAGGGGGGATAGTTTGCTAGATTTGAACAACATAGCATCTTTTTAGAGAGAGGAATATTTTCTTGTGGATAGTATTTCAAGAATCTGGCATATTTGTGTTGACTGTGGTTTTGCTTAATTTAACTTTTCTGARGCAGTTTTGTTTACTGCATAGAGTAAAACCTGATAAAGACTGTAAGTCAGGATTATTTGGCTWGTGACATCGGCAAAGGCTTCTTTGAAACCAAGGATTATTTCTTCACAGCTTTACACCTATTTTTAAAAAGCAGAAATACCTGGGCTGGGGTTGTGGCTCAGCGGTAGAGCACCCGCCTAGCATGTGCGAGGCACCGGGTTCCATCCATAGCACTACATAAAAATAAATAAAATAAGGGCATGTGTCCAATAACAGCTAAAAAATATTTTAAAAAAGCAGAAATACCTAATATTATAATCTTAAAATTAAAATAAATAAACAAAAATAGGCAAAYAGATTCATTAATTTTAGATGTTTGTGGTTTTTGAAGTCCTTCAGTTAAGGCATCAGAGATGTGGATTATTGGGGCCCAATAACCAATGCACTCGGGTCATTCTGGTTTGAGAACGTGGGACCCTCTGCATTGCGGCAAATAGACACGCATGTGCAGCACTGGGGGGGAACTGGTGCGCATGCGCTGGCCGGAGGTGCAGTAAATCTGCGCTGCGGCAGTCTTGCGCAGAGCAGAGCGGCCCCTGGAGATGCCTGGCTCCTCGGCCTGAGGAGCGGTCAGCGACGCGATGGAGCGAGCAAGGTCAGCCGTTTTGGTGGCTTCTGTTATCTTGGGGAAYTTTCATTTGTTGTTTACTAAATGGAGTACTGTACAAAACTGGAACTTCAGGGCCTTTAGCCCTTTGTTTTGGAGAACCAGATAGACACCTTTGGAGGCTTGGAATTTATCTCTTCTGTKCTTTGGTGTCGTGCCGCATTTTGCCGCATCCTCTCATCTGTAATGCCGCGACAGTTCCTTTCGTGGGTGAACCTTTACCTTTCAAATACAAGGCAGTTACAGTGGGTTGCCCGCGGTCTTGTGGGGGAATACTGAGGGTGACCGAGGACCGCTGAGGGTCCGCTGAGKTGTCCATGACCAGGGGTGGGGCTCACCGTTCGGCGCCATGAAGGAAAGGTATACAGTGCCTCTGAGTTTCGGGGACGGTATGCGGAGGTGACCATGCCGCGCTGGTCCATAGTACCGAGTGATTTAGCTTACGGGATAGGGCGAGGTTACTGTAGCGCGGATGGAAGTGGATGTACTGAGGGGACTACCGTGGTTTTAGGGAAGGAATTCAATGCCACATAGTTTGGGCGGTTGTCTGAGGGGACCCTGGTGCAGTTTGGGGGTTTATGCCAGGGTGACCGCGGAGTAGTTCTGGTAGGGGGTAATGCCGAGGTGAAGTTRGTGGGGGAGGGTACAGCAGGTATCTACGGGGCACTGGAGTATTCTGATTTGGCTTGTAACGGAGATGGTACAGCTATAGTTCAGCAGGTAATGCAGGGCCATTGGAGGGCTGGGGGCTCGAGGGTAGGTTGGAGAGCCCATATTGTTGTTGAGGCCAGCACGGTTTCTGATATGAGTGGGAAGAGTGGGGAAACAGTGGTGGATGTAGTGGGCGACATTGGGGTGCTCACAGTGGCAGTGGTAGTGTGGGGAACGTTCGTTGGTGTATATGGCAGTAATGGCAGGGCCTGCTGGGTGTCCGAAGTGACTGAGTGGGTCAGCAGAATGACCTCTGGTGTGGAGGGGGAGGGGGTGAGAGGACGGATGGTTGCAGACAGAAGTAGAGACTTTGAAGGAACATTAATTTCCACATGATCTTTGGCTGTTGTGCATTTTGATTTTTATGATTGTGCTTTTTGCTTTCTTAAGCTGCTGTGCCCCTACAATGAAGTGCTAGTTACAGAAATTTAGTTTGCTTTTCTCGTCTATTTTATTCCTTTATGATTTCTTCACTTAGGTGGCTAACGTGTAAGAAAGGGAAATGGCGTGCACAATTTAGTGTTGTGCATCTTCTGACATATGTGTGAGGTGATGCCACAGAGGCATTGTTTTTCATTGTTTTTACTTATCTTAATATAGTTTTCAAAGGCTATCTCAGGATTGGAAGAGGGTAATATTTTGCGTCACCGCCATTGTGCACTTTCCCAAAGATGGCCGCTGCTGCAGAGGCAATAGTCTGCGCAGGCGCAGCAGGGTGGGGCGGGTGGTCGCCCCCTCCTCATCATGTCACAGCAGGTATGGCACTGTTYACACCTGTTTTCTCATTTTTGCCCTGCTGAAATTTCAGCCATATGCTCTCGAAAGTGCTTGGGTGAGGTAGGAGAAATGTTGGGTGAGGTGTCCGCCCCCTCCCCAAAGTGCTGCAGTGAAGGGTGCGGGGTGCGCAGGCGCAGTGGGGAGGATAGCTRTCTCTACCTGCCATGCGGTTGGTAGCAGAGAACATGGTTATGCAGCATCTGCTTGAAGAGGATAGAAGCCATCCCTTCACCTGGATGCTATAACAGCTGCTGTTTTACCTCACATTCCCTATTGTGTCGCAGTGGAGGGTGGGGGAAAGAAGGCAGGATTGCACATACTCAGAAGACTTGGCAGCAGGCGTGTTCCTACAGTACCACGGTAGGGGTGTGGTGGATGAAGGAGTGTGAAATGAAGGAGAGGTCAGGAATTTGCAGTCTCCACAGCTGTCCTGTGACCCTCCTTTTCTGTGCTGAAGTAGACTGGTGTGGTAAGGGTCTATAGGACATCAAATGTGCATCCACCAGAGTATCTGATGTGCTGCTTGAGGCAGCCTCTATCACTGGTGGAGATGTCAAATTTGTTTTCAAAGTCACCTTTTAATTTTTGTAGATTGTTCTTTTACTGTTTTGTATGGTCTAATTTCAAAGTGCATTCAGTAACCCCTTACACATTCCCCTTCCTTTTCCAGATTTGATAATTTAATAATTGCATCTACCATCAAGTGTAAATTGTTTAATCTTCTGATGTCCAATTTTTTGTCCACCAAAGAGATAATTTTATTAAAGTAGGGGAATCAGGAGCATGCCAAACATTGAATAATCTTGGGCTCCTATGATCTTACAGTTGTGTTTGTTAAAAGAGAAGAAAACAGAATCAGAAAAGTGGTGAGAACCCTATTGGTTTGGGGATGTGCATGGGATCAGAATCACTGCTCAAGACTATTGCCTGTAGAAGAATTTTTAAATTAAGCTTTTGATAATTTTTGAAGTTGGAACTACTGTGAAAATTTGATGAGAAAGAATAATGAACCAAATGATAGGATTATTATATACCATTACTTTTTAAAACCTTTTTTTCCTTTAGGGATTTTGTTTTCCTTTGTGCTTAYCTTCATTTAATCATGTTTTTCATTTATCTTTGTTAAGCACTATGTCTGGTTTTCTTCAGTTGAAATTAAAAAGGCAAATCTAGTTAGCTTGAAAAGCTTTGTTATGGAGTTTTCTATGTTTAGTAGTTAGAAAAATAGAATATTGTGGGCAGTATTTATTATTTGATCATTTTTTGCTGGCTTGTAGGAAGATGTTGCTGCAGATATATTTTGGTTGAACTTCTGAGTCCTTTGACTCTTTATAAAAAACTGTGTAGGCTGGCCTGCCATTTTGTAGTCTTTGATTCYGACTTACCATCCCAATATGGCAGATCACTGGAAAGACCTCATCCTGTTTCAAGGCATCTGAAGATTTTTAGGTCTCTGATCCATTAGGCACTTTGCTGGGGCTTTTTGAAAAGGAGGAGTGCAATTCTTCAAGTGATTTAGATGAAGGAAGCTTGATTGAGGGAAAACTTGCTGTTCAAAGCAAGATGTTAGCTTAGATTATTTCCCTTTTCTATTTGATCAGTGTTTTATTACATTTTTATCTCTTATACCCACTGTCTTCTAATTGTTCATTTTTGTTTTCCAACAAATTTCACATTTAATATGGATAGCATTATAAATGTTTTATCTGTCACTATGTTGTTATTTAGCCATTTGTAGGGAGAATTATTATTATTATTTAAATTTTTTTTAGTTGTTGATAGACCTTTATTTTATTTATTTATATTTGATGCTGAGAATTGACTCCAGCGCCTCACATGCCAGGCAAGTGCACTACTGCTGAGCCACATAATCCTCCAGGGAGAATTATAAGTGCTGCCCTATCATGACAAAGGACAATAAAATTTTAATCTTATTTCTTTTGTATGGATCAGCACTATCTTTCCATCCACTTTTATGGCATGGAACTTGAGTAATTGTGCTGAAGATGACATCCTCTGAAACTGGTAAAAGTAGTATATATAAATTACCCCTTTTCTGTAGCAATTTCTGAGTACTAACTGGCCCAGAATTCTCCTTTTTCATAATTCTCTTTGTTTTGGAGGCATTGACCTTTCCTATATTAGGGAAGTGCAGATGGGAAGGATCTACTGTTAGCTATTTTTTTTTTTTTTTTTGTGGTAGCAGGGATTGCATCCCCAGCCCCATTTTGTATTTTTCCTGTTAGCTAATTTTTAAAAATTCCTGAGGTCTTTATTGAATTTTAAAATATAAAGTATATCAAACATTTTTATAGGAAATGATATAATAATAAATTGTGGTATCCCATTAGTTTTTACTTTTCATTTTTTTAAAATATATTTTTGTAGTTATAGATGGACACAATGCCTTTATTTCCTTTGTTAATTTTTTTATGTGGTGCYAAGGATCGAACCCCATTGCCTCAAACATGCTAGGCAAGCACTTTGCCATTGAGCAATAGCCCCAGCCCAATAGGATTCATTTTGATATAACTGTGAAAGCATAGGATATATTTTTTTTTCTAATTTAGGCTCCATTTTTTAAAAATAGACATTTTTCCCTTTAAACTTAATGTTCTATAATTTCACTATACAAAATGCTATTTATTATGATTTTAAAATATGCTTCCCAAGCCACTTTTGGAATTAGCTTTGCTATTTTTGGCCAGAAGAATGAGTATGGAGTGGTGATATGTTACTGAATGTGTGTGTGTGAGTATTTTTCTGTACAGATGAGTAAATATAAATGGAAGTGAATATGTCTTTCATTTCTTGATCTTTTCAAACCAGATTGTCTGTGATAGTCAAGATCCTGATTATTTGAAGGGTAAAGATCTTCTAATATTTTAGTTTTATTTTGTTTTAATTGGATTTTGGTCACTTTCATAAGTCAATCATGAGTTGCTTCATAAATTGATGAAGTCTACCAAATAATTCTTTTGTATCTATTTCAGGGATCGCTTACACCTGAGACGAACTACAGAACAGCACGTGCCAGAAGTGGAAGTCCAAGTCAAACGTAGAAGGACAGCCTCACTGAGCAATCAAGAGTG